TATATAATTATATTCTTATTATTATTATTATTATTATTATTCTGGTAACCCTCTTGCCTCTTGGAATTAAGAAATGTGGGACACATAAGAGACCCAGGGTTAGATGCACCTAGACTGGTAGTGCTAAGAGGAGCACAGGCAGCTGCAGCCAGAAGGATGAGAATCTGGACTGTATCCAATCCTCTGCAGCTAAGTCTAAGTTCCCTCTGCCAGAGGAAACTTTGGGGCCATAATTTCTTTGGGAGACTAGCCTAAAAACCAGGGGAGATTTCATTTTGGTTCCTTAATTTTACTATGGGATTTAATAATGGGAGGGGATGTCAGGAAAGATAGCAAAATAGGAACTGCCAGAAATCCATCTCTCCACTCAGACAACAACCGTACTAGCAGAAGCTGTCTGAAGTCATCACTTTGGCACTCCTGAGTGTATTTGAATGTTCGCAGCTTTCAGGAGAAAAGCCTACCCAGGAAAGTGTGGCTAACATTGGCCAATTTCGGCCTTTAACACTACAGTAGCCATCTATTCCCCAAGCCCAAGCCCAGCAGCAGGCAGCTGTGCCCACATTTCTCAAGTGGCTTGTTGCAGCCAGGGGGGGGGGGGGGCAATAAGGAATTAGTCTTCCAAATATTAGGATTCTGTGTCCTGATTGCTGATGACAGCTTTTCACTGCTGGGGTGTAGACATAGAAGCAGGCAGCCATTGATGGAGTCCTAGTGGTTGGGGTGGTTTCCTGGGGCCTCAAAAGAGCTGCACCTCGTTTTTTTGTTTGTTTGTTTGACTCAGTTTCCTTTCAGTTTCTTCCCTTTTGGAAGCCAGACGTTTATGATTCAGACCTTCAAAAGCAACAATATACAGGGGAATTTAGAAAGCCACTGTGCACCTATCCAGGAACAGATGCAGGCTAAAAGACCTAAGCTTTCTCCTCAGGCTCATCCTCAGCCCAGAGTTATATGGCAACCATTTCTTTAAAAATGGTAAGGAAGGGGCAGCCCGGCTCAGTGGTTTAGCACTGTCTTCGGCTCAGTGGTTTAGCACTGTCTTCGGCCTGGGGCCTGATCCTGGAGACCCGGGATCGAGTCCCACGTAGGGCTCCCTGCATGGAGCCTGCTTCTCCCTCTGCCTGTGTCTCTGTCTCTCTCTCTCTCTCTCTCTCTCTCTGTCTCTCTCTCTCTCGCTCTCTCTCTCTGTCTATCTATCTCATGAATAAATAAATAAAAATCTTTAAAATAAAATAAATAAAAATAAAAATGTTAAGGAAGCAATTACACCTACATATCATCCAAAAGAAGTAAATACTTCAAAAAAAAATCTAACTAAGGAAGTGAAAGACTGCCATGGCATGCTGAAACTACCAAATATTGCTGAAAGAAATTAATGAAAGCCTATAAATGGGAAAAAAATCTCATGTTCATGGATTGGAAGACTTAACATTTTATGATGTCAGCACTACCCAAAGCAGTCTATAGGTTCATCACAATCCCTATAAAAATCCCAAAAGCCTTTTCACGAAAATGGAAAGCTGATTCTCAAATTTATATGGAATTGCAATAGACTGAATAGCCAAAACAATCTTGAAAAAAGATAAACTTAGAAGACTCACACTTCCCAACTTTGAAACGCAGTACAAACCTACACTGATTGAAACAGTATGGCACTGGCATAAGAACAGGCTTATGGAACAGTAAAATGAAATAGAGAGATTAGAAATAAACCCTCATACATATGGTCAGTTGATTTTCAATAAGGGCTCCACTAGCATTTAATGAGGAAAGGATAGTCTTTTCAACAAAAGATGCTGGGAAGACAAGAGATCCACATGCAATAATCCCCACATACATAAATTAACTCAAAATAAATCAAAGACTCAACAGTAAGAGGCAAAACTATAAAATGAGGGAAGTCCTTGTAACACTGGGTTTGGCAATTATTTCATGGATATGACACCAAAAGCATAGACAACAAGAGAAAATAGATAAATGGCACTTTCATCAAAATTAAGACCTTTTGTGCATCAAAATACATTACCAAGAAAGTGAAAAGACAAACCCACAACTGACATCATACTCAACAGTAAAAAGCTAAAAGCTTTTCTCTAAGATGAGGAGTAAGACAAAGACGTCCATTCTCACCACTTCTATTCAGCATGGTACAGGAAACCTAGCCACAGCAATCAAATAAAAAATAAAGTGCATTCAAATTGGTACAGAAGAGGGATGCCTGGGTGGCTCGATGGTTGAGATTTCAGCTCAGGGTGTGATCCTGGGGCCTGGGGATCAAGTCCCACAGCGAGCTTCCCACAAGGAGCCTGCTTCTCCCTCTGCCTATGTCTCTGCCTCTCTCTGTGTCTCTCATGAATAAATACATAAAATCTTTTTTAAAAATTGGTACAGAAGCAGTAAAACTGTCACTATTTGCAAATGATATGACACTATGTATAGAAAATCTTAGAGACTCCATCAAAAACTATTAGAACTAATAAATCCAATAAAATATCAGGATACGAAATCACTATCCAGAAATCTGTTGTGTTTCTTTTTTTTTTTAAAGATTTTTATTTATTTATTCATAGAGACACAGAGAGAGAGAGAGAGAGAGAGGCAGAGACACAGGCAGAGGGAGAAGCAGGCCCCATGCAGGGAGCCCGACGTGGGACTCGATCCCGGGTCTCCAGGATCACACCCCAGGCCGCAGGCGGCACTAAACCGCTGCGCCACAGGGGCTGCCCTGTTGTGTTTCTATACACTACAACAAACAAACACAAGGAGAAAATAAGAAAACAATCTCACTTAATATTACATCAAAAAGAATAAAATAACTAGGAATAAATTTAACCAAGGAAATGAAAGACCTGTACTCTGAAAACTATAAGACACTGATGAAAGACATGGATTAGAAGAATTATTATTAAAATGTACATGCTACCCAAAGCAATCTACAGACACTGTAATCCTTATCAAAATATCAACATTTTTCACCTAACTAGAACAAATAATCCTAAAATTTGTATGGAACTACAAAAGACCCCAAAGAGTAAAAACAATCTTGAAAAAAAAAAAAAAAAGAAAACTAGATGTATCACACTCCCAGATTTCAAACTATCCTACCAAGATATAGTAATCAAAATGGTATGGTGCTGGCACAAAAATGGACATATAGATCAATGGAACAGAAAAGAAAGCCCAGAAATAAACCCACAGATAGATGGTCAGTTAATCTATGGTAAAGGAAGCAAAAACATAACACGGGGAAAAGGATGTCTCTTCAATAAATGGTGCTGGAAAACTAGACAGCTACATGCAAAAGAATAAAACTGGACCACTTTCTTACACAATATACAAAAATAAACTCAAAATGGATTAAAAGCCTAAATGTAAGAGAAAAAAACCGTAAAATTCCTAAAAGAGAACAGAGGCAGTAAACTTATGGACTTAGTCTTAGCGATATTTTTTTGGGGGAAGGGGGGATCTGGCTCCTCAGGCAAAGGCAACAAAAGCAAAAATAAACAATCAGGACTGCATCAAACTAAAAAGCTTTAGCACAGTGAGGGAGATCAACAACAAAATTAAAATGCAACTTACTGAATGGGAGAAGGTATTTTCAAATGATATATCCAATAAGAGGTTAATATCCAAAATGCATAAAGACCCCATAACAACTCAACACCAAAAAAACAAACAGTCCAATTTAAAAATGGACAAAGGACCTGAATAGACAGTTTTCCAAAGAAGACATACAGATGGCCAGTAGACACATGAACAGATGCTCTTCGGGGAAATTCAAGTCAAAACTACAATGAAATATCACCTCACACCTACCAGAATGGTCAATATCCCAAAAGACAAAAAATAAGTGTTGGAGAGGATGTGAAGAAAAAGAAACCCTCATGCACTGTTGGTGGGAGTATAAATTGGTACAGCCACTATGGGAAACAATATAGAGGTTTCTCAAAGAGTTAAAATCAGAAATATCATATGATTCAGCAATTCCACCTCTGGGGAACTGGTGGGTAGCAAGGATGAGCAAAATAGGTGAAGGAGATAAAGAAGTAAAAAATCCCAGTTCAAAATAAATAAGTCATGAGGATGAAAAGTTCAGCCTGGAGAATATAGACAATAATATTAAAGTAACTTTATAAAGTAACAGATGGGAACTACACTTACCATGGTGAGCATTTCATAACGCATAAAAATGTCAAATTACTATGTCGTGCACCTGAAACTAATATAGTAGTGGATGTCCACTATGATTTAAAAAATAAATACTTTTTAAAAAATAAATAAATAAATAAATAAATAAATAAATAAATAAATAAATAAATAAATGAAAGAAAATGAAAAGACAACCACAGGACAGGGTGGGGGGAATATTTGCAAGACAAAAATCTGATTAGGGATTCATATTCAGAATATATAAAGAACGTGTGAAGCTTAACAACAAAAAAAAAAAACACAAAGAACTCAATTCAACATAGGCAAACAAGTAAACAGTTCTCCAAAGAAGATATACAAATGATCAACATGCCCATGAAAAGATGCTCCACATCGTTAATCATCATGCTAATGTAAATCAAAACCACGTGGAGATACCACTTCATACCTACTAGGGTGGCTGTAATAAACATTTTTAAAAGAAACAACACACACACACACACACACACACACACCACACAATAACAAGTTATTGGTGAGGATGTGAAGAGACTGGAACCCTGGAGCATTGCTGATGGAAATGTTGAGTGGTCTAGCCACTGCGGAAAACAGCTTAGAGGCCCAAAGAATTAAAGGTAGAGTACCACGTACCCTAGCAATTCCACTCCTGAAGTGGGGCCCCTCAGAACCAACCAGTGGGCAGGGGTATCTGAAGTTGCAGGTACTAGTTCATTCTTTTGACCCAGCTGGTAAAGAACCACTGCTTGGAGCCCCTTCAAGGGCCCTCCTCCACCACCTGCTGTCCTAGTCACCCTCACCTCCCACCCCTCAAGACCTCCCAAATCAGCAACCTGGTGTCAATGAGTCCTTCAGGAACCTGCTCCAGCCTTCCAGGGTGATCGTTCTCTTTAGAAGATACGGAGCAGAATGAAAGCAAAGAGACTACTGTGGGACTTTGTTCTAATTTGATCAAGTGAAGCCTCATTTTGAGTTTGCCTTCCGCCTCCCCATCCGGTGCTTTCAGGACTTGTTCCTCTTTCCAGATTTGTTAGAAAGTCTACACTGCCCTCTCACGGCAGAATCTTGATATTGTAAGTCCCCTTAAGACCCATCTCGTACTTTTTGCTCTGAATTCGCCCTGTTGTCCATCCTGGAAAAAGAGAACTCTCTTCTCAACCCTGTAACGGAATAGCCCAATATCAAGGTTAGAAGGGCCATTATGTCCTTCAAGATAAGAGTGAAATAACTTAGGAATTGGTACATGAGATGATTTTCCAGATCTAGCCAGAGAAGTCTGTTCACATTGTGAGGGAGGTCCTGTGTCTTTGACTCTTTCCCACCCCCTTTCTGAGCTGTCCATTTTCCTAGGTTCTTGAAATATTCATTGGGTTTCAGGCTTCCCAAGAATAATGTATGCCTGGACTCTGGATTTCCCCCTTAGGCTGGAAAGTTCTGAAGTGAGCCCCACTCAGATGACTCATGAAGGAGTGATGGGGTATCTGAAGTGTCAAAGCAGTGACGTGGCTTCTGGAAACCCATCTGGACAGCCTCCACCATTGCACAGAGCCTGTTGGCTTCTGCTGGCTTGTCCTACAAATTCTCCACTCTGAGTGCTTCCCACAAGTAGAATCTCAATGGTTACTTGAACAGAGAAGAAAGGGGAGTAAAACCACTGGAGTTGCATTCGTGTTCCTATTTTCAAAAACAAACCAAAACAGCTTCATACAAATATAAAACACCAATGGTTTTAGTCAATTCATTAATTAATGAGGGGCCCAGAAAGGCATTAAAACTAGTTCAAAGGAGATTTGGAAGGAGTGAGATTTATGTCCGTCAAGGCAAAGGAATGCTGAAATGAATTTGTTAATATATACAAAACTGGTTACTATCCTACTGGGCAAGAAATTATCTGAAGTCATCTTTTCTAGCAGACAGTAAGCGATTGCACCTCTCCCAGACAAAATCCATGTGCGTTACCAGGGCCAAGACTCATTTACAAAACTTTCTGATAAGAATCATTTATGTTACTATAGGTTTTCTGCTAGTTAACCTCTACCTCTTACAGTTATAAAATACCTGAGGCAATAAAAATTCAGCCGAAGTTGGATAACCAGCACTGCGCTAAAAGAATAACCAGTGATCTCTTCATTTTTCTTGACCATGTATGAAATAGGATGTGTACATTGATGTTTTAAGGAACTGGGGCATGATGGTCCCCAGCCTCTGGTTGTGAGCATTCCCCTTCTCCTTTGTTCATATAAATGCCAAACTTGTTTATCACTTTTGAGCCCGTAGGTGGTTTTCTCCTATGACATTGTCAAGTATGTTTATGCCAGTTGTGGGGACACTGAAGTCCCACTGAGCCAGGTTGGCATCCCAGAGGGCTCAGTGTGGGATAGCACAGAAGAGCACCTGCATCTGGACTTTCTAGGTGGGTCTGGAGCAAACTTGTTCTTTAAAGGATCAGATAGTAAATTTTTAGGCTTCACAGACGCAGAAGCTCTCTGCAGCAACTACTCAGTCACTAGCACAAAAGCAGTTATAGACAAAATGTAACAAATTATGTGGCTGTGTTTGGGTGCCTGGGTAGCTCAGGACATTTAAGCATCCAGCTTTTGATTTCAGCTCAGGTCATGATCTCAGGGTCCTAGGATCAAGCCCTATGTTGGGGCTCTGCACTCAGTGGGCAATCTGCTTGAAGACTCTCTCTCTCTCTCCCTCTGTTCCTCCCTCCGCTTCCTCTCTCTCTCTCTCTCTTTCTCTCTCTGCCTCCCTCCCTCCCTCCCTCCCTCTCAAATAAAAATAAATAAATCTTTAAAAAAAATCATGTAGCTGTGTTTCAATAAAACTTTCAAAACATGCACTGGGCTGGATTTGGCACATGGGCCATAGTTCGTCAAGCCCTAGTGTATTAGTCTGCTCAGGCTGCATTATAAAATGCCACCAACTAGGTGACTTAGACAACAGGTATTTATTTTCTCACAGTCTTCGAGGCTGGAAATGTGTGATCAAGGTATTAGCAAATCTGATTTCTCTTGAGAGCTCTCTTCCTGGCTTATAGATGGCCACGCTCTCACTGCGTCCCTACATGGTCTTTCTTGTGTACAGGAATAGAGATAGAGAGAGAGAGACAGAGACAGAGACAGAGAGAGAGAGAGAGAGAGAGAGAGATCTCTAATGTCTCTTCCTATTCTTAAAAGACCACCAGCTCTATCAAGTTTAGGCCCCACTTTTGTGACTTCACTTAACCATTATTGCCTCCTTTGGGCTCTGTCTCCAAATAGAGTCACATTAGGGGTTAGGGCTTCAAAATACCAATTCAGTCCATAACCTGGTATAGAAAATATAGCAGTCTTCATTCATTCATTCATCCAGTAAATATTAGTTGTGTTCACAGTAAGCCAGCCCTAGACAAATCCAATCCTAGCCCTTGTCAAGCTTTGATGCAGCAGAGGAGGCAAAGTTTAAACAAGGAATTTTAATAAAATGCAAAGACAAAGTTAGCAGGCCAAACATAGTGCAATGAGAAAATTACACTTAATGTGAAACACAAATGTTTATTAAAATGCTGAGTTTGAAGTCTTGGTGATAAATCCAAGTAGAGATGTTATTCAGATGAAAAAATATATTGAATTGAATTGAGAACTCAGAAAGCAGTTCTGGGCCTCAGACATTTGGAAGTCATTGAAACCATGGGAGTGGTTATGGTTGCCTAGGAAAGCAAGTGGCACAAGATGAGCAGTATAAGTGTCTACACCAGTGGTTCTCAAACTTGAGCAAGCACCGGAGTTACCTAGAGGGCTTCTTAAAACACAGATTGCTAGGTCCCACCCACAGAGGTTCTGGCTCAGTAGGTCAGGGGTGGGGCCAAAAAATTTGCATTTCTGCCAAATTCCCAAAGAAGATGGTACATCTGGAATATAGTCTGATTTCAGAAAAAGAGATTTCAATTATAAACTGAACATAACCAGGAAAGATAGCTCCTTGTAACTTTCAGAGGAATTAAAACATCTAAGAAAAGTCCAAGATCTGACACTTCAGCTATTGAGTCAAGAAATAAACCTAGACAAAAAAAAATCACCACCGCTATCACCATCACAATCACCACCACCACCACTGACACCTCCACCACCACCACCACCACCACCACCATTACCATCAACACCAACACCGTCATCACCGACAACACCACTACCACCACCACTATACCACCACCACCACCAATACCAACACTGACATCACCACCACCAGAAACCACAATAGCATTGCCACCACCACCTACACCATTAACAATACAAACAATAACAACACCATCACCAACACCTCCACCATTACCACCACCACCACCACCACCACCACCACCACCACCATCATCATGGTGAATCTCAAGTACATTTCCCTAAAGTTGGTCATCTTGGACTATCCTGGATCACCTAATGCAGGACAATAAATACATTCCATTTGCTGAGTATCTCTTAAGCCTCCGTCTAAAGAATTTTCTTAAAGATATATTTATTTATTTGAGAGAGAGAGAGCAAGTGGGGTGAGGGGCAGAGGGAGAGGGAAAGAGTCTTAAGCAAACTCCTACACTAAGCAGGGCTGGATCTCATAACTTTGAGATTACGACTTGAGCAGAAACCAAGAGGTGGACACTTAACCAACTGCGCCACCCAGGGGCTCCTCCATGTAAATAATCTTTAAAGAAGCAATCTCAATAGGCACTGATCAATGAGAGAGAAGTTGTTATAGCACAAGAGGTCTAAAGGTAGATATCCATATCCTTGAGTAGGACTTAGCCCTTGAGTTAATTTCATCACCACTGACGTGAATGTGGCTCTATCATTGGTGCTCCAGCCCAGAGAACAATTTGGCCCCAGTGGACCCTGGAAGAGACAGATCTCAAAATTTAGTGCAAAGGTTACCAGCAAGGACTTTAGTGTCAGCCAGCCCTGGATTTGATTTCTAAATCTGTCATTTACTTTCAGAGACCTAGGTCACATTCCTTTCTATGTTTGTTTCCTTATATTAAAATAGAAATCCTTCCAAGGTTTCTCTGAGAATTAAATTTAAAAATATGCGAAAGGAGCAGAATCCTTGGCCTATGGGAAGTACTCAATAAACAGTAAGTATTTTTTGTCACTATTTTCATTTCCATTGTTGTTTGGAGAAGAAATGAAAAGTTGAAGAATGTTTAAGCAGCTCGTAAAGTTGTCACAGGGTTTTAATAGATTGCTATAAAGGATAAAACAGAAGTTCTGCTAACCTTAGGCAAGAGGCTTAAGAGAGTCACACAGGAAATTGAGTGGCCTTCATACTGTTGTATAATGAAAACTCATCACAAGAAAGGAACACCCTTTTAAAACCCTTGCTGCCACTGCCCAGGCAAACAATTAACAAAATGGGAAAATGCAAAGGCAGCTAGCAAAGAATGCCAAAGAGAGGCAGAGAACCATGCAAATAGGGGGAAAAAATCATTCCCAGATTTATAAATAATGGGCAACAGGTCATTTTGCAGAGAGCACTGGAGCAAAACGCTCTTCATCCCAGCTGGAACAGTTTGATTTCACTTGGAGCAACTGCAGGTACAGAAGCTGACACACTCCTCCCAAAGACTAATGGAGCCTCCAGCACCAGGAAGCAGCTACTCAGGGCAGGATAGTATCTGCATTTAACACAGAATAGTATTAGCTAAACCAGGACACGACCAAAGAGAAATCTTGGTGGGACCCGAAAAGTGATATTACATTTCAGAGCCCTGCTCAGGTGAGTTTTCACTCAATTAGAGGAATCCAAATGCATCTTTGGGCCTCTTCCACAGCCATAATTCTTTTGTTGTCTTTCTGAAGTCTGGAGTTGGAGAATCCTCTGGGTGATACCAAAGACAGTCTTGTTGACCAGAGATACCAGCAGGCACAGCACTCAAAGCTACAGAACCATTTCAGTATGA